TCACCACATCGCTTCGAGTCACTTCTATACCACACTTTTGACAAGTGTGGAACGCTCGACTCCAGGAGGTGCCTTTCCGAGTATGCACAACATAGAATTCACAAAACATATTTACTCAGCGCCTTGTGTTGAGGTTGCTAAGCTGCTAAGGAATGACAAAATGAAACTAGCAATCCCTATGGCCTGGTAGTGATCCCAACTTAACTACTGTACCTGTAAATTCCCGGGTGAAACTGCAGAAGGTGAACACATGTGAACACCATGTCCGAACCTCTACCTCATGAACGCCAAGACCCGCGTACCGCATTCCCTTTCGCAAACGCGAACCCACAAACGTGGCGGACCGAATGCCATCGATGATGAAGATCAAGCTAATGAGGCCAGCAAAAATGTCCTCGGAGAACATGGTCACCTCAAACGTCGCTGAGTCGGGCAGGCAACCTAACCCGAAGAAACAAGCGTGTCCGTGTCCGCATTGGTTGAGAACAAGTAGCCGGAAGTCATCCGGTCTCAGGCGGGTTCGAGGGCGCCCTTTAAGTCCTTTAATAGCAAACAAAAGGCAAATCCGTAATTGCGAAATTGTGCTGTTAATTGTGAGACTCGCTCAGTTGCGAAATTTGTTTTGCGAAACGTAAAAGACATCCAGGAAAAAACAGCCCAATGTCTACAACCCAGGAAGCCGTAATAATATGTTCCTTTCGGCTGCCCTCCACCAAATTTATTTGTAGGCATGCCGAAATCACTTTGCGGGGTGTCTTTGCCAGCACGGGTGTCTCAAGGATGTGAGGCGGCACAGGCCCCCCAAACTGGATTTGTTTGGCTGCCAGAAATCACTTTGTGGGGTGTCGTTGCCAGTACGGGTGTCTTTGATGTGAAGTGGCAAAGAAAAGTATTTGTTCGGTTGCCAAAAGCACAGAGCAATGGCTCTCAAGGGGCCTTTGTGGTGGAAACAGTTGGGCAATGAATGGTGCATCCCTCGCATTAATTTCTTGAACCTGATGAGAACTCAACACCCGCCAAGTTCAATTGCACTGTCCCACCCACTGTGCCGTGTTGACAGAGACCCAGCTCAGCCATGCGGTGGCAATCAGCGTGTCATTTCGCTATTACAAGATTAATTTTCGCGACTATCTCTGACCTGCTGCGAGTCTGCGGCGTACCGTACACAGCATAGCAGTGTAGCGCGTACACCCATTTTCGCGATTAAACTATGACTTTCACTATTGAGAGGTACCTTTTGGGCGGGATCTCAGGCTGGGTCTGAGGAGGATGACTAAAACCAATAATACAGCAGCCGACAGAAAGGGAATTGGATGCCCATGCCCAGTTTCTACTAGGTGGTTACAAAGGTAGAGTGTGTACATTAAAAAATCCTGCCCAGTCCGGGCACTAGCCTGTGAAGTCACCCTTTACCCCATCATGGAAGATCTCTCTATATTCCACTTGTATACAAGTGGATTATATATATATATATATTATGATATATGGCAGAGATTCCATCACTTACTGCGCAGCTAAGGTGCATGGGATACACTTTCAGCAGGGATCTCATTTCTTGAGTGATCAAACAACATGACTCAAGAACAACATAATTGGAATCATGAATCAGGTCGACTTCACCACAGGCACTACCTACCTCCCACTTCAATCAAATTGGAGTCCCTATTTAGGACCCTGGATCCAATGGCTCTGAATTCCAGCAACTCGTGCACCAAGCCACGGCCAGCCAGACATGACAAGCCACGTCTTAAAAAAGAAATGGAACATTCCGAGACACTATTGGGTTGGAGGCCATCGCTATTAGGTTGGAGGCCACCGATATTAGGTTAGAGCCATCGCTACTAGGTTGGGGGCCATCGCTACTAGGCTGGAGGCCATCGCTTTTAGGTACGGGGGCAGAGTGGCATTTAAAAAGAGCAATAACAACGAGACATGTCAAGGAAAAACTGCGAGTGGCACTTCTATCAAGTCACCATCACTGATACTGATACCGCCTCCTAGAGCAGGTGAAGAAAAATCAAAGGCCTGTTTATATATCTGATCTGACATGATCTTACCATCCTGACCACCCTTCCAAACAACCACCAATCCCCGCACCCCCGTGTCCACACAAGTTGGATGCTAACGTGAAGGCCATCCGTGTCACGCATCAACCTCCACACCTCCCTGCTGGGTCACATGCTTCATGAGGGCACAAAGGTCGAAGAGCGCCACCAAGATGGTGAAAAAGGCGCACCACATGCAGGTCCAGAAGTACCTGGGTCAGGGTGTCAGGTCTGAAACCTAGCTCATCCAAACCATCCAAACCCATTGAACCGGCCATTGATCTGCAAATGATGTATCACAAGAGACGTTCATCTACAGTGACAGTACTCATAGACTAGATATGACTCATCTAAGTGTAAGCTATATGTGCAGGGTGTCAGGTATGGGCATCCCCACTTGACCCAGCTGGATCGAGCTGGGTCAAGCAAGGTACAATCAATGGGCATATAGATATGTCATGCATGATCATTGGAAGGCCTTTCTTAAGGCTACCAAGTGTTGGAAGGTGAAACAACTTCGGGGAGTCGAAATACACTTTCTTCATCTTTCTTCCTTCAAATATGCTCTCCTGCCACTGTGCTTTGACATTCATGTATTGGACAGAACACCATTGCTTTGCTGCATTGGCTTTCTCAGCATGCACTGCCAGCAACAGCAAAAACCATTGCCTAGCCTGGTGGCCAAACAGAAAGCGTTTTGAAGGTTTCAGGTTCGGAGGAGCACCATAAAGCATCCAACGATTCCAACGACCCTTCCAACACTCTGTGACCGTGTGGGCCCGTTGGGACCCAAAAAGGAGGCACGGGGCTCAGAGTCCCCATGCGATGCATGCTGTGCTCAGTGGCTCAATCCCCGCTGCGCGTTTGTGCGTGTGCGTCGAGGCACAAGGGCATGAACTCCAAGTTCATAGCGATGCCCAAGTCATAGACGACCTCTGCAACAACCATACGCTACGCAATCACGCGTGTTCGTGTGCGCAACATATCGCACTGCTGCCCGGAAGGACTGACTGACCAAACTTGTGAGTCTGAAAATATGTCTCAAAAAAAGCTTCAGTGCCCAAATATAATATCTTAAAATATGTCTTAAAATATGTCTG